TTGTGGAGCAGAGCAAGCTGTAATTGTTAATAAATCAGTATTAAATGTAAAAAAAAAAGATGTTGTGGCATTGAAGAATATAACTGATGATGTCATGTGGATCAGAGGATGCCAGAAATACTTGTACTTCATTTTTTATGCAAAGACATTTAATTTGTGGTCATAACAAATTATGGCTGAAATTGAGAAGCAGTGGAATCCCAGAACACATAATTGTGCTCATGTTGCTGTTGATGGCCATGGAGTCGAGCACAACTCGGAGTGACTCTATGAACAAAAGACCTAATAACTTTCAAAGTTTCTCCAAGTTCATAGAGTTTCCATAGACATGTGGTTTAGGATGTAGATGCCACTCTTCTTGCAAACCTGTCCTACAACTGGGAGCTCCACAAAACACTGTCCATATTGGTAAACCATTATGGTATTGATACCCCAATGGCACAAGGTTTGACATCACAGTAAACCCGGATTATCTCAGTACAGCAAATTGACAAGGAGTGATGTACAAAGTAGAAGAATGTCCCTCCAAAAAAATAACACTAGTTTCACTTAAGTGTCATCAAGTTAAATAAGACTCAGAGAAATCCTATGAACAAAAACCCTGAACTCTGTTCTGTAATTAACATCATTTCTTTATGTTTCTAGAGTTTCCAAAGGCATCTGGTCCAGGAAATGAAAGCCACTCCTGCTTCCAAACCTGAATCAATCTGGAAGCTCCTCTAAACACTGGCCATGATGGGTAACCATCATGGGATTTCCCATTCCAAAGAAAGGTGACCCGATAGAGTGTGGAAATTATCAAACAATATCATTAATGTCATATGCAAGCAAGATTCTGCTGAAAACTATCTAAAAATGACTGGAGCAACATGTCAACATGCAACTACCAGACGAGCACTCTGGAATTAGAAGAGGTCATGGTATTAGGGATATTATAGCTAATGTCAGATGGATCTTGGTAAAAAACAAAGTGTTCCAGAAGAATGTCTATCTGTGCTTCATTGACTATGCAAAGGCTTTTGACTGTGTGGATCACAACAAACTGTGTATGCCTCTGAGAAGAATGGGAATCCCAGAACGTTTGATTGTGCTTATGCAAAAACTGTAATTTGATGAAGAGGCAGTTGTCAGAACAGGGCAAGGAGACTCTGCATAGTTCAAAATTGGGAAGAGGGTCTACCGGGGATGTATTCTGTCTCCATAACTTTTCAATCTGTATGCAGAACTGATCATCTGGGATGCTGGGCTGTAGGAGAAGGAATGTGGCATCAGGATTCGTGGAAGATTCATCAACAACCTACGCTATATAGATGACACAACCCTGCTCATTGAAACTGAGGAGGACCTGAAGCGCTTGCTGCAGAAGGTCAAGGACTGCAGTCTTCAATATGGATTGAAACTCAACATCAAGAAAACAAAGATTCTCACCATTGGGCCAAGTGGTAATATCAGTATGGATGGTAAAGAAATTGAGATAGTTAACAATTTTAGTTTGCTTGGATCCACAGTCAACACTCTTGGTACCAGCAGGCAGGAAATTGAGACATATTGCATCGGGAAATTCAGCTGTGAGGAACCTCTCAAGAGCACTGGAGAGCATGATATCAGGATGGAGACTAAGTGTGCCTGATTTGAACTATAGTCTTTGCAATTGCATGTTATGCATCAGAGAGCTGGACCGTGACTAGGGATGATAGAAAGAGAATTGATGCCTTTGAGCTGTGGTGCTGGAGAAGAGTGTTGAATATACCATGAACTGCTAGGGGAACAAACAGGTTTGTCCTGGAGAGGGTGAAGCTGGGCTACTACTTGGAGTCAGGGCTTCTCAAGCTTTGACTGACATACTTTGGGCATGTTGCAAAGAGGGACCAGTCCTTGGAGAGGGACATTATATTTGGGAGAGTGGAGGGACAGTGCAGGAGAGGAAGACCCTCGATAAGATGGATTGATTCAGTGATTGGGGTGGTGGGAGTAGGTGTGTCGGAAATAGTGAGGTTGGCACAGGATACAGCAGGGTTTAGGGCTGTTGTACATAGGGTCGCTATAAGTCGCAAATGACTTGATGGCACATAATAACAACGTGGCACAGTGGTTGGCAACTCCAAGTTATTCAGTACAGCAAATAGACTGTGTCACAACTGTGGCAACTGCTGTGCCACTTAAAGAAAGTTCATTCCCATATTATAAATTTGGCTAGAGCACCCTATGCCATTTTAAAGACACACCCCCAAATGCTGTTGACTCCGCTCCACTCTTGGGTCATCGTCACTAGGGCAAAAGTCCAGGCCGATGGACACCCCCTTGTGGAGGGAAGAAAACAATAACACAACCCAGCATCAAAGACTATAGCTTTCAATATTGATTGTAATACCAATAACGCAAGCCAATCACAGACTGAACACAAACCAAGACTTTCTTTAGTGACCCCCACTAGGATGTGAGAATCCAGACTGGAAGAGGGAGTCTCCAGGCCAGCTGCAGACTTCACCCATCACTACAGAAGTTTAAAGACATACCCAGCAAATGCTGCTGACTATTACTATATTATTATTCTTATATACTGTGCTCATATAAACCTTTAAATGGACTAAGAAGCAAGTGAGTGTTTTGTGTGGGTATTTTTTAAATTTAAAATATTTTTTTTTAAATTTTATACTGGTTTACTTGCAAAGTTTGTATACATTATTTTTCACACTAAATCTTTCCTGTTAACTTTACCGACGCTCCTTTCACCCATCAGACTGTGCTATGATTACCCCCCGCCATCCTCACCCTTCTGCTTTCCCCCTCCCCCCTTGGGGCCTCATACACAGCCTACAATAATGATCTTATACAATATTTGTTCTGACGGGACTGAGCTAGTTCACTTGGGATGATGCTCTCTAGTCCCTCCCAAGTTAAGTACTGATATACAAAATCATTGTTCCTGTGTGCTGCGTAGTATTCCATCATGTGAATGTACCATAATTTCTCAATCCATTTGATTGTGTTTGGACATTTGGGCAGTTTTCATGTTCTTGCGATGGTGAATAATGCTGCTATGAACACTGATGTACAAGTCTCCATTTGTGTCTCAGTTTTCATTCTCTGGGGGTATTTTCCAAGCAGTGGAATAGCTGAGCTATATGAAATTTTTATGTTCAACTTTCTGAGGAAATGCCAAACTGCCCTTAGAACATTGTACAGTTTAAATCGAGAGAGATGTGCAGACATCAAGGCTGCATCCTTTCTCCATACCTTTTTAACCGTATGCTAAGCAGATAATTTGAGACTCTGGTCTATATAAAGAAGAATGAGGCATCAGGATCGGAGGAAGATTCACCAACAAGCAGGGTTACGTAGATGACAAAAACTTGCTTACTCAGAATGAAGAAGGCGTGAGACACTCGCTGCAGAAGGTCAAAGACTGTTGTTATGTGCCACTGAGTCACCTGTGACCCACAGTGACCCTATGTACTCCAGCTCTGAACCCTGCCCTGTCTGGAGCCCACCCCATTGTCCCAGTTATTGTATCAATCCATCTCATCTGGGATCTTCTTCTCCTGCGCTGTCCCTCCACCCTTCTGAGCATGATGTCCTTCTTCAAGGATTGGTCCCTCCTGGCAACATGTCCAAAGTATGTGAGATGGAGCATCAAAATCCTTACCTCCAGGGAGAAACTTGGTTTCATCCTCTGCAAGACAGACCTGTTTGTTTTCTCAGTGGTCCATAATATGTGCAAGACTCTTCTCCAGCACCACAATACAAAGGCATCGATTCTTCTGTCACCCTCAGTCACTGTCCAGCTCTCTGATTCTTTGGCAATGATGGCCTGGCTCGGGCACACCTTAGTCTCCAGACTGACATTGTTGCTCCTTAGTACTCTGGAGAGGTCCCTGGCAGCAGACTTACCCAATGAAATTCCTCTTTTGATTTTCTGACTGCTGATGCCAAAAATGTTGATTGTAGAGCTGAGCAAGCTGTAATTGCTAACAACCTCAATCTCTTCTCCATCTATTATGGTGCTGCCAGTTGACCCAGTGGGGAGAACTTTGCCTTCTTATTGTTTAGCTTCAATCCATACTTGAAGACAACAGTCCTTCACCTTCCACAGCAAATGCTTCACGTCCTCTTCAGTTTCAGCAAGCAAGGTTGTATCATCTGCAAAGCACAGATTGTTGGCAAGTCTTCCTCCAATCCTGATGCCACACTCCTCTTCTTAAAATGCAGTCTCTTGAATGATCGGTTCTACATACAGATTGAAAATGGTATGGCGATAAGACATGGTATGTTCAATACTCTTCTCCAGCATCACAACTCAAAGTCATCAATTCGTCTTCTAGCAGCCTTAGTCATTGTCCAGCTCTCTAATGCACAGCAAGTAATTGTGAAGACCATGGCCTGGATCAGGCGCACCTTAGTCTCTGGACTGACATCATTGCTCTTCAGTACTCTGGAGAGGTCCCTTACAGCAGATATCTTCAATGCAATTCGCCTTTTGATTTCCTGACTGCTGGTGCCGACAGTGTTGATTGTGGAGCCAAGCAAGCTGAAGATGGTAGCAATCTCAATCTCATCTCTATATACCATGATGCTGTCAATAAGAAATATGCAAAGTTTCACTCCGTGTGTGTGTGTGTGTGTGTGTGTGTTTTCTCCAAAAGTGAGGGGCAACTGGACAATGGCTAACACAACCAAACAGGGAAAATCAAGCATTCAGGGTCCAAATGTAGGTTTGTCAGCCTTAGCTGGCAGGCCTGTGGACAAACCGTCACCCCTAGCCACGTGGCAGTGTCAAATTCCACTGTTTGCTTTTGATGACACGGAGAATCAGCAGACCTAAAAAATGCAAAGTCTGTCACCAGGACGCAAATTGCTACTGGAGTGTCTCTTTCTTATTTGACTGTTTTGAAGTGAAACAAAGACGTCACCACATAAATGATGCTCCCTGTCTTCTGGCTTCACTTCCTCCCTGGAGCGATGCTCCCGAAGCCTCGGGCTCAGGTGAACAAAGTCGGTGCTTTGGTCATCGAGGGTGCCCTGAAGTCCGTGGTTACCTGTGGTGGGGTCTGGTTGTTTTGGTTTTTTTTTTTTAAATATATAGCTAGCCAGTCTGGATTTTCCTTTTCAAAATGTTACAGTTTCTGTACCTTCTGCTGTTAGTGTCTCAGCTGCTTAGTGGGATCTTGGCCAATGCGGCCATCCTGGCTGGAGTCTGTGTGGACGTGGTGAAGAGGAGGAGATGGAATTCGCTGGATCTGCTCTTCTCCTGCCTGGCCAGCTCTCGCATTTTCTTGCAGGTGATAGTCTTCTATAATTGCTTGGTTCTAGTCTTCGTAGTAGGCCCTGGTGAAATAGAAAGGAATTTCCTTGTCTGTATATTCATCAGCGAGCTGAGCCTGTGGCTGGCCACGTGGCTGGGGGTCTTCTACTGCGTCAAGGTGGCCACGGTGGCCTGCCCGCTGTCCCTCTGGCTGAAGAGGAGGATCTCGGCGCTCGTGCCCTGGCTCATCCTGGTCTCCCTGCTCTTCGCAGCGCTCGATGCCATCGGCCACGACAGATACACGCGGGGGCTCTTGCAGGAGGCGCTGTTCTTCTACAGCTTGAAGAACAGCACGCGGCAGAGCATGGAGCTCACGACCGCCTTCGTCTTCCTCCTCACCGGCTTCTGCCTGCCGCTGCTCATCTTCCTCGGGGCTGCCCTGACCCTCGTCGTCTCCCTGGGGAGGCACATGAGACAGATGTGCAGGCTGGGGGGCGCCGGGGACCCCCCCAAGCACTCCCCGAGCGGTGCCCTTCTGTCCATCCTGTGCTTCCTCTTCCTCTTCGTCTTCCACTATGTGGTGGGCTTCCTGCTGTCCGCACGTGTTTTCCCGGTCGGCAGCACCGCTTTCCTGCTCTTCGTCTTCTTGGCGTCAACATACCCCTCAGCCCACTCGATCGTCCTAATCCTGGGCAGCTCTCAGTTGAAGCACAGCCTCCGACTGCTCCTCCTTCCCAGGACGTGGTGTCCATGAGTGCGGACCCGGGTCCAGCGCAGGAACCCGGGGCTGATGGTGACCGCGCCAGCCACACGTCCAGCCGGGAGAAGGGTCTGTCCACACACGCTGCTCCACCACTTCCTGCCAGTCCTCCTCCATGGTGGGAGTCCGCTCTGACTCCTGGTCACCCTGGTGTCAGTGTCACCAGGGCCATTCAGGTCCCTGTCACAGGAAGCCCCTCCTTAATTCCCCGTGTGGCACTGTGCGGTGTGAGGACCCCCAGGCGGGGTAAACTCTCCCTCCAGTCTTACACTGGGCAGTGCTTAGTTGTGGTCAGGATGGTGTTTTTTGGTTTTTTTTTTTTTAGTTAGTGACACTGTGTGTCACATACGTTGCACATGTTGTCAGAAGGAATCAGTCCCTGAAGAAGGTGAAGTCGACGGTCGGCGAGATGAAGACCACCGTTCACGCGGTGGGCAGACACAGTGGCCACAGCAGTCAGCTCAGCATGGCAGTGGGGGCGCAGAGGACTCAGGACGCAGTCCTGGTTCTGCTGTGGACAAGGTTGTTATGAATTAAAGCTGCCTCGTTGGGCATCTAACGACAACGACGAAAATAAAGACCTGGGTATCGATTTCCAAGGAGCTCTTGCCTCCAGTTCCCAAGCTGGGATCAATTCCCAAGTTGGAAGCAACAACTCTTTGGAAACCAATCCCCAGGTCTTTACTTTCGCTGCTGTTGTTAGGTGCCATCAGGTTGACTACATCGCATGGTGACCTTATGGACAACAGATCTGCACTGCGTCCTACCTTGTGCCATCCTCACAACCTCGGCTATCCTTAAACCCATGATGACAGTCACTGGGCAAATCCATCTCACCGAGGGTCTTCTGCTCTTCCTGTGACCCCCAACCTTTCCCAGCATGACGCCTTTTTCCAAAGACTGACCTGCACTTGACATCACGGCCAAAGTGTGAGGAATGAGGTTTCACCATCTCTACCTAAGGAGCAAACTGGAGGAGTGTCAGCCAGGATGGGCTTGTTCAGGTTTTTGGTGGTCTCTAGGACAGTTTGTATTCCTCTCCAACACCACAGTCCAAACGCATCAATTTTTCATCTTTCTCATCCAAGGAAACAAATGGGTCTGTCTTGCAGAAGGTGACCCCAGGTCTCTCCTTGGAGGCCAGGATTTTGAAGCTCTGTCTCACACACTTTGGCCATGTGGCCAGGAGAGACCAGTCCTTGGAGAAGGACATCATACTTGGAAGGATGGAAGAACAGAGCAGGAGAGGAAGAACCCGGATGAGCTGGATTGATACAGTGACTAGGACAGTGGGGGTTAGTGTGTCAGAATTAGTGAGACTGGCTCAGGGCAGGGCAGTCTTCAGACCTGCTGTACGGAAGGTCACTGTGGGTTTCAGGCAACTCAAAGGCATATAACAACAACAACAACAACAACAACAACATTTCTCAACCAACTTTCAGATTAATATGCTACAGTTGAAAATACCAAGGTTTGAATCAGATACACTTAGTCTTTAAACTGACATCTTTGTTCTTTAGTATTTTGGAGAGGTCTTCAATAACAGATGTGTGACATATTCTTTGGTTTCTTGACTGCTTTTATCCTGGTTGTTGACTGTGGATCCAAAGAAAATGTTATCAGTGACAATTCCAATCTTTTTCCTTCTACTGTGATTGCTTAAAAAAAAAATTCTCTAAGTCTACCTGAACTTTAAGATCCATGGAAAGCCACCACCATAGTGGCCTAGCTTATATCTGAGAGTGTCCCAGGAGCACGCAGGCTCCCAGCAGAATGGAAGGGCATGCGCTCAAGCTCTTGTCCACTCCTGTGTCTGCTGGAAATTCAGACAGCAGATGGTCATCAGAAGGGAGAGGAAAGCAACCGAGGCCAGTCTTCTCTCTCCTTGCCAAAAGCGTTCTCACCTGCTCCGTCAAGCTGAATCCCCCTCAGACACAGAGGGGGGCTCGTCAGGAGGATGCCATGATGCTGTGTCCCTCACACGCAGAGGAGGAGGGCTTGTCGGGACATACACTTTATTGAGCCCTCGCTGGGCTCACTGGGCAGACAGGAGCTTCTGCTCTTGGCTTCCGGCCCCTCCTCTGATGGCAGGGACTGTGACATTTTGCCCAGCACAAGCAGGTGGGTGGCTGGGGACACCACCATCTGCTTGAAGGCGCGGATGCAGTGTCTGACTGATGACTTTGGTTAATACGTGTACTTCCCACACAGCTTCAGAACTCTGCATTTCCAGACAAGTGAGTAAAGGCCGTTTCTGAGTGTGGCCAGAGCGTGCGGCTCACATCGGAGGAGGGGAAGCACAGCCAGGTGTGGATTTTCCCATTGCTAGTCATTTGAGTTCAGACCCAATCTAGGGAAGGTGGAGGGTAAAAGAGGGGGAGACTGTCAATGAGAGGATTGACACAGACACCGAAACAGTGGGTTCAAGTACAGCCAAGAGGAGGGGGCCACATGGTGGGACAAAATTCAGATCCATTATCCGTAGGGTCACTATGTGTCATATTTTACTTAAGGATACCTAACAAGAACAACAACCACCACCACCCTAGTAGTGTAGCTTTGCCTGCAATAAGCTAAGAGGCCACTTTGCCATTCAAGCGTCTAGAGCCCTGGATGTGGCCACTCTCTGGCTCCCCACAGTCTCCTGCATGGCCCTTCCGTTCTCCCTCTCACTTCCACTGCCCACTGGGTGGGAAGGTTGGTCGGGGTTCCTGAGCTCTGGGTAAAGGTCTAGGAAGAGTGGTGTTGACCTGGGGTCATTCTTCAGCTTTGGAAAGAGGTGTGAAGAGTCACTCTCATGTTCCCCTATCTCAAGTTCAGGACTGCTTGGTCCTCAAGTCCATGGTGTCCTTGTGGTGAGGGACAGTGGGAGCAATGTCACATACCCAGGGGGATGTTTGTAATGACGTAACACTCGTGTGGACATTTTCTCATAGAACACTCTGTTTTATTCCATGCAGCCCCTAGTGTATGGGAATTAAGGCAAAAATCTTGTAAGACAAATGGACAATTTTGTTATATGTGTTTTACCACATGTGCAAGTTAAAACTAAGAGGAAAGAAACCTGTTCCCTCAGGTGGGGTACAGTCTTCCACCGTAGGAATTAGTGAGAGTCAGGAAGGAGGCAGGCACACTCACGGCCACTCTAAACCATTTCCACAGCCAACACTCCAAGAACTGCATTTCTTCCTGAATGTCATCTACATAGCATGGGGACACATCACACTGAATGCTGATTGTTCAGTTTGGAAATCAAATGTATTCATCTCTTTGTTTCCCTAGAATTTACTTTATCAAGACCATCTAGTTCCTCTGGAATTGGGTTAATCTCTGCAGAACGAAGCATCTTTCTTAATCCTCAATAAGGGTTAAGAAGTCTCGTCTCCAGGAGTCTAGATTGGGATTGGAAGCTAGGGATCACATGTCCCATTTAGACTGTGGAGTTAGGACTTGTGAAAATGACCTTTGCCTTAGCCCCCTCTGAGGCTGTAGTCTCTAGCTGTCTCAATTGCAGGTGTGGGATTCACCACTGATAACATCTTCTCCATCAGTGGTGGGGCCAACATGACAGGGAGAGCTGGCCAGACTTAGAGAGATTGCTGTGAGGAATAGCATGACAGAGCCCTGGAGCCAGAGCCGGAGCCGGAAGAGCTGGCTTGAGGCAAGTCACTGCTATGAGACGAAGCTTGCTGGATGATTGTGGAAACCAGAGTTTTATTTGTGTTGCTGGACTGAACCTGGTCTTTCAATGTGTGATATTCTTTGTCTTTCCCTGCCGCCCACAACCTATTTGCTTAATAAACTCCACAGCTTTGTCAATGAATATCAGACTCTGTTGTTATTAGACACAGGTGAAGCCACGTGAGGGATTATGGCTTGCCAAGGGACAGGTTTTATGTTTGTTTTTATGTGCCATCGAGTCAACCAGGACTCATAGTGACCCTATGAACAAAGGCTCTGAACTTTGCCTATTTTGAGCCAATCTCACCATCTCTGACACACTTACCTACTGGATGGTATTGTTGGGGACAGTTCTCCTTTGTGAAATGAGTAAAGTCAGGCTTGGCCTTCAGTACATAATCCATGCTGTTATTGCTTCTCCTACAAGTGGCACGGTTCAGACCCAGTCCACACACTCCCTAAAGGACTCAAAGAATCCCAGGTGCTCCAGACACAGCTTCCATTCAAACTTTCAGACGAGAGGGCCAAAGTGGGCACTTACTGACAAAGGACCCAACAGTAACAGGTCACTCCCCTTCAGATGTGATCCAGGGAGCTAACCTACACTGGATGCCTAGGGATGGTGCTTAGAGACCCTCCCAGTGCCTAGCATCCCACTTGACAGCAAAGGACTGGTCTTTTAGGTTTCCCAGGTTCCCAGAGGGAGAAAAAGTGCCCTGGGGTGAAAGGTACCCAGAGTCCTACTTCATTGAAATACTCCAGAAGATGAGAGGTTGGGCTAGATGCTGGGATGAGTAGAGACTTTGGGGAATGAAGTGATGGGGTGAGAGAGCTTGACAGGTGGAAAGAACATGGATTTGGTGGGAGGGTAGGAGGTGGAAAGTATGACCTGAATTATGTGCCCCTTAAATACATGTTGGTACCCTAATGTGTCCTCAGATGCAGTCTCATTTGGGGGCAGGCTATTCTTCCTTCGGGTGCAGCCCTAACAGGAATGAATGAAATGAAATGAAGAGCAGTGTGGGCACAGGAGGAGGAGCGTGCTGGGGAAGAGACATGGTACCTGGGGTCACCCAGGAGTCCTGAGCAGAAGGCCAGAGAAGCCAAGGATTCCCCCCAGAACGAGCAGAAGGAGCCGGTCTCCTTAATTCAGACCTGCATCCCCTCCACAGTGAGAGCTGACATTCCCTTCCTTGAAGCCAACTGCTTGGAGTGATTCTGTTACAGCAGGATTGGTCCTCAGCCTGCAAACCCAGGAGTAATAAACAACGTGTCCTTCACTGATATGGGCTCAAGATGGGACATTGCAGGGGCAGATGAGAAGGCCTAACAGGGAGGCTTGGATGAACGCTGGAGCAATTCCAAAGGAGCAAGTCAAAGCAACAGCTGCTCAATCTAGAAAACGAGAAACGCCTCTTAAATTCCCCGAAGCTCCTG